GTTTTATTGATGAATTTTGTGAATCGTAACAAATTGATCGCAATAAAACACGATAGTGACAAGTACTTGAGATCTATTCATTTATATAATGATTAATGATGCAAGTTTTGTAAAATTATTCTTACAATATAATTTATAATATGACGTCTTGAGATTACAAGAAAGTATAAAGTAGTCTAAGCAATCTTATAGACGGCTTTTTCTTTACAAAAGTTTGCAGCATACGCTTGTTTTAGAAATTAAACAAAGAAGATTGTATCCAAAAAGATTTTAAGTTTACATGTTAAAATGAATTGTTGGCATCTATTTGTAGTCAGTGACGTTGCTCATGCTTTTTTTGTTTTTTTTTTTTTTTTGTATTTAATCAGGAAATCAGATAAATTGACAGTTATGACAAGGCTCAAAGGATGATGTTCGAGGAATCTACGATAATATAAGGCATTCTGTGAAAACGTTCAAAGCCAGTTAATACTGAAGAATTACTTTCTTTACTTATTATTAATGAAATTTGGTAGATATTTTTTTAAGTGTTTTCTATCTAAATATAATAATTATATTTATCATGTATCCATAATTTACATTGTACGTATTCACTAAGCAAATGAATGAATGAATTATTTATTTAAAAAATATATACGACAAGTAATTAAAATATCTAAAATTTATTTTAATTTATCTTCGACTACCTTGATATGTTCGATACTAATTAAATATACATTAGCATTAAAAATTGGGAAGAGGCACATTGTGCGCTTTTGTGCGCTTTTGTGCGCATTTTTTATATATATTTTTTCACTTTTCATACTTTCTTAGTATACTTGGTATATTTTTTTATAATCCTTGCATGAATAATATACCATTTGTAAGCCCATCGTAATCACCTGTAAGAAATGTAAATATACATATGCATTTTTCATTTATTATTCTTAATTCTTATTTAACATTGTTAGTATACAGATATAAAATGGCTGAAAAATTAAGTAATCTTTTCGAAATTAACAAAATTTAATTGTTAAAGTGATATTTCTTAAGTTTTTCAATGCATACTGTATGAATGTGTGGGAATATATTTTATTTAATTGATTTTTTAGATTCCTTAATTTACATATTAATTTAATCACTCGATTTATCTTTCTTCTCGAGGTATCTAAAATGTATACTTATCATTACTATAATCTTCATACTTTTTTCCATTCATTTTTTTTATTTGTTTTTTATTATGTTAATTGATTACTTTTCTCTATTTTTATGGAACTCACTTTTCTTTACTATTTTATTGTCGAATTTCGATTTTTAATATGCCCAATATAATTTTTTAATTTATTGCAATATATTTTTTGTTATATATATATATATATATATATATATATATATATATATATTTTTTTTTTTTCTTCTACTTCATCATTACATATCTATAAAGCTCTATCTTATTTGATTTATTAAATTATAAACGACAATAATTGTTTAATACTAATATAATATTTTATATTACAATTAGCGTAAAAATAAAAATAAATAAACAAATATCATATTATTAAGCTAAATAAAGTAAAGTTATAAAATATGTAAAAATATAAAACCAGATAAAATTAATGAAATGGTATTAATAATATCTGTTTATGCAAAAAATATATATATATATATATATATATATAATTTTTTTTTACTAAAAAAATTTTAAATATTAAATGAGAAATTAAAATTTTTATTATGAATGTATATTGACGATCAAAGGGTGAAAAAGTATATACACTATATTACGAAAGCTCAAAGTATTAAACATGATTTTCATAATGTTGGTATACATCAAGAATATTGTGAATTTATATTTCATGGCTTTTTGGTATTTATTCAAAAGATGTATATTTTTTCTATTTAAAAATCCAGAAAATTGAAATGAGAAATGGCAAATTTAATTTATTTGAGGAAAGAAGAATTCATAATAAAATGTATAATAAAATTATTATAGATTCGATAATGCATTCATTCGGTATTTTACCCTATAAAAACTGGATTTGCAATTGCTGATTATCAGTGGCGCGAGATCCATTTTTAATTGGCAAGTGAAAGTTCATATGAACACGCATTAAAAACTATACTCTAGGCATCAACAAAGCATATACGGGTATTTGGAGTATATATGATGTAGCCATATTTCGTATTCTATATCGATGAGTTTGTTCGATATAGGTATCAACACATGTCGATAATTCACACGATCCAAAGGAGAAAGCAGTCTTTTAAGAAGGCGCGTTAGCCAATGACGTAGGTTAAGTATTTCTAATGCGTGCGTACATCCGTCGGGAAATCCCTCAGTCGACACGCATATGTTACATATTGGTAACATGATGTGGATACACGGTTGATTATGTGATGGATGCATCGATTTAAGTTTCAAAAGTTTAGAAATTAGGGAGATTTAGACTATTGATCAAGCTAGTGTCGTTGCTCGCTTGATTTCATTGAATCGAACTAAAATTATAAATAACAACACTTGTGTGTGTTACTGAACTTGTGAATTGAAATTGAAAATGGGATGTACCATTGGCTTAGTTAATAAAGTGTTGGTATTGGTGGTTTCTGCTAATGGGCAATAGCACATCTCCATTGTGACGTTTTCTAAACTAGTAGCACCAGAATCGAATTCCGTGAAGAAGTTTTGATGTAGGTTTTGACATATAAAATGCTATAAATTATTTTTAATTAATATTTTTGTTAATGCAGTATTGTAAAATTACATATTGATCGATACAAATGGATTGTCGAATATTTTATAAATGAGCGTCTCTTTCGTTTCATATAACAATACCGGATTTGTTGGAAATTCTAATCTGTGTTTTATTAAACAGGATTTATTCATTGAAATAAAAAATTGATTTTTCATGTCGTTACGCGTCAAATTTCGAATTCTTCGTTTATTGTAGACTTGATTTGCTTAAATGACAATACTTTTTCAAAGAAATTCTAAAAGAAATTTCTCTATAAATTAATATTCAAACTTTATTGACTTTTTACTTTAACGAAGGAATAATTTTGTAGCCATTAATTACTTTATTACTATTAATTTCTTATGTTAGGACGTATTTTTTGGAAATATTTTCGTGTAAAATTTTTAAGCCACTTAAACAGTCCAATCTCATAATTATCAATTAATAATAAATTCAAGATCAAAGTATTATACGAAACAATAGTTTTCACAATGATTAGAATAATTGTTAATTGTTTAATTATCTTTATACCGCGTTGAACTACTAATATTCCTTTAATTCATTTAAAATTATTGTAAAAATAAAAAGTGTATTTATAATAAAATTATCTAAATAATTATATAGTATATTATTTATTATTGAAATTATACAAATGGTTTTTAATAAAAAATTATGATATAATATTATTTAAAAAATATGTATTTATGGGAATAAAACAAATTTATTGCAGCTAAATTCAGCATTTTATTAATTATCGATAATTTCTAGATTCTAATTTTTACGGACAATTATGTTAGAATATAAGATAGTTTTCATGATTATGATGATTTTGAAAACTAATTAGTAACATTTTTTTAATAAAATGTTTAATGTTAATTAATGTTATTTAATGTAAAATGTTTTTCTTTCTTGTTATTAATTTGAATAAAAATAATGCTAGTTGAGTAAAAATAATCGTAAATGTTTATAGACATGTAATGGTTGATACGCAACGAAGTTGATTTCCGTTTGCCTTAGTGATGTAGAAAATTTCATGAAAAATATTGTAATGAAACAAATTATATTTAATAATTGAACTTTCATCATAAAATTTTTTGCCTTAATCTTTTTTTTTCTTTTTGTAATTGAATACTTTCTTTTTAATACTACCCTGAATATTTTATGACTTTTTAATTTGTATTTTGTTTGTTTGTTTGTTTTTTTTTTTTTTTTTTTTTAGTGAAACCTGAACTGAACAATTGGCATATTGTGATATATATAATTTATATCAGCCACCAGATTCTTATGTTAGATTAAATTAAAATTAATGATTCGTAAATGTGTTAAGACGTTTAAATCGAATGATTAATCAACAAAGTCTTATAACACAATTATACTTTAGAATATGAAGACTATTCGAGCAGTGTATTTTCTATCTTAAAAGTAATATTGACTTAATATAATATTATGAAAATAGAGAAATGAGTTTTTATCGATCGTATATTTGCATAGCTATTAATTATGTATGTGCACGTGTTTTAGGTTACGTGACAGCTTACTCAATCACTCTATTTGTTTTCTTTTTCTAGTCTGCTTCGTATAATATTTACCATAGTAAATATAGCAATTCTATTCCAATCCAACTAATTTAAAAAAATTTTTTCAAAATCTCTTTAGATTATCAGGTATCAAATAATTTTCTTTTTAACGTGTCGGTACATTGATAACGTCGGAATTCCTTCTCGCAAAAGGAACTTTGTGCCGTGAGATTTCGATCCGAGAAGCATAATGCCGAGCGTGATTGTGAGCTGCCGGAAAAATCGGCAGGAAAGCGAGCGAGCTTAGCGCATCTCACTGACGAATTCAATGTTTATAATTCTGTAGGCAGATCGATACTACACTCACCGGCTGATAATTACGAACACATACGAGTTGCGGTGGCAGTGGCCGTTCGATTGCTGGACGGATAAAGGGTGATGGAGGTCGGAGGGGGGTGGGAGTGGGAGTGGGAGTGGTTAGACATGGCGTTAGGGGTGGGGATGATGACGGTGTGGAGGAGGCGGGCGGAGGTTCGAGAAGAGGAGTGGAGCGAAGAGTAGCGGCTTGGAGCGGCGCGGTGCAGAGCGGTGCAGAGCGGTGAGGAGTGGAGCGGTGCGATGAGGAGAGGAGAGGATAGGAACGGAGTGGAGTGGAGCGGTATGGAGAGGATTGGCGAGGAGAGGAGATGGAAGAGAAGGAAATCGGCGGCGCTCGTACTTGTGGCCTGAGCATTTATACGGCGACATCGACCGACCTCGTGTATTATTCTGTTATCGGTGTGCGCTGTATGAGCTCGTCCTCGTAGACGGGACGAACCGATCTTTTTTACATCCGTTATTTATCACGGTGGTGCGCGTTCAAGGATGCAAGGACGTCGATAGAACAGACCTGTTACTTTGTTACAAGGACGTCGATTTTCTTCCAGGTTGGATATTAAAGTTTCACTCCTTTCATCTATTCTCTCTCTCTCTCTCTCTCTCTCTCTCTTTCTCTTTCTATCTCCCTCACTCGTCCTCTCATTTATAATTTTTTTTGTGATTATACGCGTGTATTCTATATAGAAGGGCTCTTCGTTTCGTAATATGATTTTATTCAAATCATAGTCTCCTTTTTCCAATGTACAATACGCGTAGGAAGATGTGTTACCGATGTTATGGATCTGCATTTACCAATCCGTATCAGTATATCAAGATCGTAGTTTTATGAATTTTGCAGTTTATCAAAGTAGAGAATAGAATAAAAGTGCACATGTTTAGTAACGTGATTATGCAAGTAATAATTTTTGTAAATTATACGAACCGTGAGATATGCACGGCTTGTCTTCATTTTTCAGCAAAAGCAAAATATGAAGTAATTAGATGAAATCGGTCGAATGTTTAGTTTTTGATAAATAGTACCACTTTATGCAGTGCGATATATAATAGTTCAATTTATTTAATATATTAATAATACGTGTATTATTTTACATAATTAATGTTACAATAGGAATAATTATAAAAATTTTAAAATGGCAAAACGCATGTTTATAGTAGTAAAGCCATGGTATCCACAAAACATCGCTTGTATTCATTCTGTATTTCAATATACACTTGTAATTTAAGTTTTAATTGACTCAATCTAAGCAATATTTTCAAGAGATAGAAAAAATTATGCTACGCAAGTTAAATGAATATATTTTGATAATATTAAATCGACAGGTTCGAAAAATAACAGGATTTTTTAACATATTTTAATAAATTTTTGAAAAATATGTTATAAGATTTTTTATATCATAATAATTCTCATTTTACCTTATAACATTTTTAATTCGTATCGCGTATTTATTGTACGATTTATTTATATTTTTTAATATTTTTTTACTTATATTTATTTAAATATTATATAATATTATCTACTATATTATTTCTTAGAATGTATCGCTTTCGTCTGATAATGTTTTAGATTTACTATAATTTTGATTGGGTCGTATTACCAAGTAATCTTTTCGTATCTCATTAATAAATCAATATTATATTTGAAGTATGGTAAACAAATTTGTCTTTAGATAGCTGTTTAGTATTAATATTTCATTATTTTTTTAATAGTCATTACAATTAATTTTAAAAAATAAGTACGTATATTGGTGTGTAAATATAGCTATATGTATATATATATTTTTTTTTAGTTATGTTTTTTGTTATAAGTTAAATTTGATCAGATGTAAATATATTGTATATAAATATAAACAATAATTTTGATGTAAAATACCAATTTGTAATAATTGATTATTTCGAATATAAAGTTTATGTGCTACTAAAAAATTAATTATAGTAAATAATATTTCTTTATTTTACTATATATTTTTATTTATTATATATACTTTTTATTTTATTAGTTATATACGTCATTGCCTGTCTATTTTTTTTTCAAACTTCAAACATAATATAGGTACGATAGATGATAATTTTTGCAAGAAAACGAAATGACAAAGTACACCTGAAACTTCAGAATAAAATACAGAATGTGCGATAAAGTTTTTTAAATATGAGATACTTAATATTTTAGTGTATATATTTTTTTCCGAGGCTATAATGACCTTAAAAGGACTTTATTTTTAATATTTTTATACTTCGTTTTATTCATTTTGGTATTCCTTGTAGGCATAGACATTTAAAATTTTTTACTTATAATGCATTAATTTTTTATTTATGAAATTGACATTTTATTAGTTTGTATTTGAAATATTTTAGTATTAAATTAAATATTTCTTATTTTCAAATTAATTTATCCTTTGATGTATATAATTACTTTATAAATGGAACAATATCTTTATTTTTGAATGTCATGAAGTAACTCATTATGTTGTATATATATATATATATATATGTTCGTGTTACTTCAGTAGATTGAAATTTGTTTCTGATTCATAAAATGTAGGAAGACAGTATTTAATTTATATTTAATAATTAATTACGTTATTAAACGTAAACTGTTAAGAGTTTTATACAAATAAAAATTTCTAAATTTTATTATAACATTTTAGTTTTAATTTTCAATGTGTAATTTTATTTTTAAATTTAAAATTTAAAATTATTAATTTAATAAATTATATTTAATTATTCAAGGTTATTATATTTCCATATATATATATATATATATATGGCAATAATGATAAGTATGTATATACGAGGTGTTGAACTATAGAGTTAATATCACTAATTATGTACACAAGGAAAATATTTTTATATTTATTTGCATTTACACACATACACACACACACACACACACACATACACACACACACATATATATAAAAGTTTCATTATAAGTTTAAATATAACAAAAAATGTATAAGTTAAATATGTACAGTATTTACGTTTTTAACTAAATAAACATAAGTTGAATATTGAACATTATTGTATTGAAATATAAGCAAAAGACTACAATTAATGTACTTTATTTGCCAGATGTAAATTTTTTACTTGTATATATGTATTAATATAAGAAAAATAATCGGCATATGTATCTCTTTGTTATTTGTAACTGTACATGTATACATTACAATTCGGAAATTTATAAAAATTGAATAAGAAATTAATTAAGTATAAATTATAATATTAAAACATGTAACAGAGCAGTTAATTATACATTAATATTTTCACAAATATTATATAGGTCATAGAGAATCCCAATCAGCTGAATATAATATCATTTTAATAAATATCATTGGTGGTCTGGTCTAATAAACTTGAAAACTTTGACGTAAGAAAATGTAATAAGTTTGTTTTTATAAACACATATCAAATTATTTAAATAAATTAGTTTTTGCTTTTTGTTCTTTTTATACTCTTTAATATAATGCAGTGTATGAATAAACGGTATAATTTGTGAATGGCAAGTTTTTTCCTATTAAGAATTATTTATGTAATATTTTAAAAACTAATTAAAGTACAAATCGAACGGGAAGCGTGAATTTTTTTATCTAAATCTTGCAATTATAACGTAGTATGAATGTAAAATTATTTTAAAATACCTAAATTATAGTGTAAATATTAATGAATGAATGAAGTATTTGTAGTATGAGCTTTTCAGAATTAAATCAATTAGTTCAGCTGATGATAATCTAAAATTTGTTAAATAGATTGCGCAATCGCATAAAATAGCGTGAAGTAATATGACTTAATTTTGCTTGTTCATGATAATTTTAATTTTGTCCATTTAATTACTATATTGTAATAGCTTAGGAATTAAAAAATTTTATTTTTATCTCTTTTAATGCAAAAAACAAATTAATTAACACCCTTGTAGTTTATGTACTTGAGAAAATAAAAATTTATTTATATTAGTAATATTGCAATATTCAGAGTGCACATATAGCTAAATCAGTGTGTAATAAGTTATATTATTTATTAAGGAAAACATTGAAATCACATTAATTTTAATACAAACCGCAGACAAATACTTTTTGATTTAAAACATTTAAAAGTATTAAAAAAAATTTTATCAATAAATTAAAAAAAAGTTTTTCGATTATGTTATTATTTATAGTTATTATATTAGTGTTCGAATAATCAACAACGTATATATATGATAAAACTTGCTGTCAGGTTTAAAAGAAAAGTAATTTTTTGGTCATAATACAATAAGGTTCTGAATATCTGAATAATATTTTATTTGCATATTAGATATTTGAAATTTATGCGTTCATTTTTAGCTAAGAGAAAAGTATCGTATTATCTTATATTAACAAATATGATCGATATAATATAATATTCTATTATGAATATATGGAATATAAAAATAAAAGCAAGTATATAATGCGGGGAAAGGAAAAAGTTTGGTAGCATAAGAAATGCGAAGCAAAGCTGCGATTATTCGTTCAGGAATTCAAGTAATATAGGAATTGCACAGAACATTTATAACATTTGCAAACGATAAGATAGATATTTTTGTTCATAAGTTTCTCTTTAGATATTTGATAAAAATGGAACATGATCGATAATTAAAAATTAATGTATTGGAAGGATATGTCAATAAGAATTTAGAATTGATTGTAGATATTGTGTTTCGGTTTGTTTTAATACTAGCAATTCTAATTTCATTTATTAGTATTTAAATATTCGGCGGCCCGAATTTAAAAAAAATTGGAATGTAATTTTTGTTTATGTATCAAAACTAGTATATTTATTTATATTCATATAATTTCAAGTAAACTTGTTATTGTAAATGGGCAAATTGTAACGAATTATGCTGGGCAATTTGTGCAAATTAATTATCTGCTCTCTAAGATTTACATTAAAATTAATCCTTAGTTTTCCTTATATTCTAATAATAATTTGAGATGAAATTATCTGCGATCGTTCGTTAAAAAGAAAAAAAATAAATAAAAAAAATCGTTTCCATTACTAAATATAAGGATGAATGAAAGAAACTCGCATCCAAAAAATGCCAATGTACATAAGAAATGCCAAAGACATCGGATAAGGGGAACAGGAATTCGTGGTATTTGCTTACGGGAAAAAGGAAAAACAGACGAGATAAGGCTCAGTTACGACACGGGGCCTTTGTATGTGTTCTCTTGTGCAATCAAAGATGAAGATCCGGTCGGATGTGATTTTTCGCATTCCTTTGCGATACAGCGCCACCATATCAGGATATTTGTAGTTGGCTTTTTCTTGCTCCTCTTTTGGAAAATCTTTCGGACTTTCATTTATATTCTTGCTTTGTTCTCTAAAGTAAAATATTACTCATTGTTTGTTGCTTTTATATCTGCGCCTTCGTACATTATACTCACGAATCCTTGGTATCTACCATTTACACCGGAAGGTGTAAATCTTGAATTTTTATATTCATAAGTTCATTGCCACGCAATAAAGCTCTAATTTCAACCAAAGTTTGTACTTTTAAATCGAATAGTTTTTTTTTTATAATTTTCACTTTACTATT